AGAAATAGAACTCAAAGTATTCTGGTTTCTAGGCTAGCACTCTCAACCATTACATCAAACTTGGTCAAATGTGACTTAGAGTGAGTACTCTAAATAGTATCATTCTTAAATAATATACCAAGGTTCTTTGGCAGGCTTGATGGGATTCACAACTCAATCTAAAGGTGTTTTCTAAAATCAAAAGTTTTAAAATCATGTCTATTAAAACAAAAATCAAAGTGCAACAATAAACTTGTTATTAATCTCTTCGTGCTGCATTGGATGAATCAAATACCAAAATAATTCATAACCAATTTCAAAATAATTTGTACATTTTTATAAGCAAAGGAGGGATAATAATGCATTGCACTATATTTAGGTAGCAGAATGTTGACGAAAATATGCCTTAGCAGAAGAAGTAATAATATTACTTCTATAATAAATTTTGTTTAGATAATATACATAATTCAGAATTAGGATAAATTTTCATGTTAACACTATTAGAATCCTTTGTGATAGCTGAACTGAACTACTGAGTTTCTGTATTCAGTATTTTCATGCACAGCAGATGATGTCATTGTTAACAAATGTACACATACACTTCCCTTCTCATAATTCCTGTAATAAAAATGCTGAAGTTCCTCAACTGCCTGTTTAGACATTGTCTTAGTAAAGGATATTTTCTATTTCTTTAATTTATTTTCAAACATGTATATAAACTTATTATCATTTCCAAATCAAAATGTGATTTATTCACACACACACAAACACACACACGATTGTTCACTTAGTGTTGTGTGTGATGTTGTTAACTTCACAACAAGATCTCTCTGTGGTCTATGAGAGTGTCAGTCACTCCATTGTCCAGACCACAAACTCTATTCTTTATTTTTTAGTAATCCAGTTTTAAAAAGGAAAATGTATGTGAAGGAAGAATATATTTCCTGGCATGCTTTCAAAAGAAATTACATTTAATGCATTAAATACTTTTTAACAAATTAGCATTTCTGTATTAAAGTGATATATTTCTTCAAACATGTACAACAGAAATAATCTCGCATTTAACAGAGAACAAACACTATCTTAAAAACATTAAATATTACATATTTTTAATTATTATTTGGTATATGGTAAACAGAATATACTTACCTTCTTCCTTTTAAAAATCCTGTTTTTCAGTATCGTTTTGTACTTAAGGATATGACACTTGCATTATCCATGTGTGCATACATAATAGATCTGGAATGCAATTCCCGTTTTAAAAGTTTCTGCTTGCTTAATCTCTCTAGAACTTAATTACTTAGGAAGTGTGTCTTGAAAAACCATGGATCGAGAAAGTCTTAGTTGGTTATATTGCCCTGTAGTAGAAAAGCAAATTACTTACTTTACTCCTAGAGAATGTGGTTGTTCCTGTTAGAGATACTGTACAACCTTTCTTCCAAGGCGGGCCATTTTATTCTAATGAGACAATACCAGGAAGAGTTTTGTCTAACTCTTTCCTTACTGTAATTTCTAGCTTACAGTGAAAATATCTTGCTTAATACTTGCTTTCCTAAAAATGAAGTCCCTGAACATCAAATACTTACAATGAAAACTAGGGAAATATTGAGGAAGGCAGAATGAAAGTTTGTTTATGATTTAGTAATGTTTTATTAGTAGTTGTTAACTTCTACTTAGCTTTTTATTTTTATTCTTTTGCAATTTTGATGTAAACGATCAAAGCTTAAGCAATAAAAAAGGTTTTTTTTAATGAAAGAAATATATTATTAACAGAGAAAAACTTCTTTGAAATTGCTGAGAATTGAAGAGAATTATGAACTTGCTTAAATGGTCTATGTGCAAACTGAGTTTTACCCATTTTGCTATCTGTTTGTATTTTCAAATTATTATTATATAGCTGAACCAATACATGACAACTGAAATGCTATGAAGATGTGATACAGCACATCATTTTATTCATTCAGTATATAAAGTGGTGGTGGACGGGAAGAACAATTCTTTTTTTTTTTTTTTTTTAAACAAGTTTTATTAATTTTTAAAACACACAAATTGTCATTATTCATTACATGTTTAAACCTTTTTTCATTGTCAATTTAACAAGTCAGATAAATTATAATTCTGTTTTAAACCATTTCCATACAACATACCAAAACCTCTTATTCAATTTCTCTTTACTTCTCTTTACTCTTATTCAATATCATTATTATTATTTCATCTGTTTCTTTCTGACTTAGTTACCATTATTCTCAATCTATATTTCTACAATTTTTAACTAATTCTCCCCCCAAAAAGACATATACACACAACACACAAAACATAAAAAAAAATCTTTTTGGAAAGTAACTTGGACCCAGGTGTCTCTCTCTTCATGGACTTCAATTATATTCATGCTCATCTTACATATCATTACTTATTTTATTTACCATTCTAAGCCTTCTATATTAACTTCCCCACATATTTCACACTTCTTACTTCTATCTTAATTAATCATCTTAATTTGAATCATTATATTTATATCTTTTGTCCATTTTTTATCATCCCTTTGTCTCATTCCTTATAAAAAAAAAAGAAAATAAGTTTCTCCTGAAATCATTAATCAGAGTATGATGCCTTTCTATCTCCCCCCTAAGTTAATCAAATTAATCTTTAAAATAATATCTAATACCCAATCCGATTTTGCTTGGTACATTCTATCTAACTAATACATCCAACATAATTAAGTACATAATTAGACAATAAATCCAAATATTAAAAAAAAGATACTATAATAAAAATTTTATAATAACATCAATACCATAGTCTTATTAAACTCTTTAATTAAAACAATATTCTAAACCTCCCCTATTATTAAGTTTTAAAGCCAATCATTTTTAAACATTTTAACATTTTAATCTCTTATCAACTCTTAAATCATTACAATACTACCATCTCATCTTATGTACCTTGCAAAATCTTTTTTTTTAAAAAAAAAAAAAAAATTATACTTTATCCATTATCCAAAAAAAGTTTCTTTTTTTCATTTAATTTCAAGACATTGTAGCTTTTCTCCACCTTTTCCCTTTCTTTCTTCTCCCAACAAACCTTTCTACCCCCCCTTCTTCTAGCCTCTGCCTTGCCAGCTTCCCTTCTCTGTCGTATTCCTTTTCCCTTTTGTTTACTATCATCATATTGGTTTTGCACCTTATTTTTCCCTTTCTTAAATGTTTTTTTAGATCTTAAGTCCTTAAGTCCTTTAATTTTCTTCTTTTCTCTTCTTTTCTTTTCTTTCTCTCTTCCTTCTTTCTGGATCAAGTTCTGAGATTCATTAAAGATGGCTCCTTTCTTTCTTTCTTGTTCCTCTGCTGTCTTCATCTGTTGTAATGTTTGTTGATAATTAATAAGCGCCATTTCTAAGAAAAGGAAAGCTTCTTCCACACCATCTTTACCATTTTTTTTTGCTTGTTCATATTCTTTTCTTAGTTCCTCAACAGAAAGAGCCATTATAAATCTTTTCTTTTCTTTTCCCCTTCTTTCTTCTTACAACAACCAGAATATTCAAAAGAAAATTAAAAAAAATAAAACAGTCCCAAAGTTATCAGTCAGTCCAAACCAAGGCAGAATTCTCACTTTCTCCTTCTGGGGCAATATCAATCCAAGAGAAAGAAAGTCCAAATCTGTTTAAAATCTTATTGCAATATATTCTAGTCTTCAAATCCTTAAGGCATCTGCTCCAACAAATCTTAGCATACAAATGTTTTCTTTTTAATCCTCTCTCTTCCCACTCATCGCTTAAAACCAATTTTCACCTAAAAGAAATAGGTTTCTTAATATCCAGTTATTTATTCCGTAGGAAAAGAGGGAAAGCTATCCTTTCAGCACCTTCACAGCCGCTTTTTTCCTCTTCTGGCAGGTATTATTCAGAAAGTCATACTTTTCAGGAATTTTATTAGATATGTCTTAGAGTCCTAGGAGCCAAGAAAAACTTTCTCCTCTCAATCACTTTCTCCACTTCCTCCTGCGCATTCTTACCCGGCTGCCAGCTTCTTTGTGGCGGCCATTACAGACCGCCGCTGCACCGTCCTGGGAAAAGGGAGTTCTGCCGGCCAGGGAGGGAGTCTGCAGCACCCCCAAACCCTTCTCCGGATCCCCCCTACCTTCAGCTGCCCCTGCAGGGCAGCCTAGCTCCGTACCCGGCTGGGTCGGAGCCCCAAAAACGGCTAGCGCGGCAGGGATCGCGCAGCTTCGCAAATCCCTGCCGCTCGCGAAGCCGACAAACCGGAAGTCGGGAAGAACAATTCTTATATGGTGTTGAACTCCATATATTATTTCCATTATTGAACCATTATTAAAATGAATGAGGAAATAAACAGTTGTGAAAACTGTTGAAAATAGTGGATTGTAATGAAGTGGACAAATCTAGGTTTTTGTTTCTCTGTCTCTGTCTCTGTCTCAAACCTCTTTGACATTAAGCTCTCTGAATAATCTATACTTGTAGTCTCAGCCCAATACATTTCATAGAGTAATTATACAGATTAGCTGGGGAAGAACAGTGCATACTATATTTAGCATCCTTGTATGATTCTGGTATAACAATTGTCTAGTGCCAAAATAGATAAATTTACAAACTTATGTTTAGGGAAAAATTTACAGAGAAGCCGATTCTCTTCTGTTGGGTATATCTCTAAATACAGTATAATCTCACTTTTCTTGTGCAATGCTTCTTGGTAGTATTCTACATCATAGTATTCTCCATTTGTAGTCCAACAAAGCACTGAGCTGAGGAAGTCTATTTTAGAGAAACTTAACAAAATAAGTGAAGTACAAAGAGAATACTTTCTTTTTACTAAGCATGCTCTTGGTTCCAAATCAAAGGTTTTAGTGCAGTTCTTGTCAGTACTATTTACAGCAGGGGTCCCCAACCACCGGTCCGCGGACCGGTACCGGTCCGCGGAACAAGTCCTACCAGGCCGCTGGCTTGCTGGGCACCGCCATCTTTTTTTGATGAAAAAGTGCTTCCGGTGAGCTTTTCCGGGTAGAAAGCTCACCGGAAGCACGTTTTCATCAAAAAAAGATGGCGGCGCCAGCGTTTCCGGTGAGCTTTTCCAGGTAGAAAGCTCACCGGAAGCACGTTTTCATAAAAAAAAGATGGCGGTGCCCAGCTGATGCCGGTACCGGGCCGCGGCGCCCAGCTGATGCCGATACCGGGCCGCGGCGTAAAAAAGGTTGGGGATCACTGATTTACAGTATGTAGACATTTTCAACCTACACTGAAAAAAATCATAAGTCTAAGTGGGAAGAAGATTTGCCTAAATGTGCTGGTTTGTAGTTCATTTCTAAGAAATGGAAATACTTTTCTAAACTTTTTAATAAGTTTGCTGTGACTAATGAAAATTGATACTTTTCCTTGGAAGAACAAAAATAGGAAGATCAATCTTATCAACTACATTGTATATAGGCTTTTCTATATTTTAAATCCCGTATTTTTTCAAACATATCTCCTCTATTGAGCTGGCAACCTGCCTGTAAATAAGGGCAGCTCGGAACCTTATCAGACATGTAGATCACAAACCTGGAAATGTCCATCCGTTACAAGTACAGGACTTTTTGTAAACTTACAGCTGCTTCTAAGAACAGTTTGCAAGTTTCAAATTTGCAAGAACAGTTATTTATAGTTTTTCTTTATAATTTGACTTTTGATATATTTTATTCTGACATAGTTGTGTTATGAAGAAAGATCTACACAAACACTTCTACCACATTCCTAAGGGTATTTATTTTGAAGTAAACCAAGTGAAACTTCCTCTCATAAAAAACTCATAAGGCTGCTTTCCTACAAAATAACATTGTAACCTTATTGTTATCATACGATCATCAGATTTAGACTTAAGCATTTTCACATAAAAGACTTTCCAATATGATTTCTCGCATATATTTGCTTTTCAGAGGATTATTCGAAAAAGCACAGCATTTTCAGGAGGTATAGGTTCTAGAAAGTATAATAGGAAAATAAAACTTCAACTGCCTTCTGTACAAAATTATTTGAGTTCAGTTCATCCAGGATGGGCTTTCTGACATTTAAGAATAATGGAAAAATAAATTAACCATTTGTATTTATTCCACTGAGAAGAAACTGTTAATAAATAGGCAACAGAAATATTTATGTTTGGCTACAGAACAATATTTGGTGTCTTTACTGTTATTTGTATAGATTCTGCTTATTCATATTGATTTCATTGATTTTTAACCGCAGTAGGTAGCATTACCATATTTTTATTTGATCTTTTCCCCCCTTAGATTAGCAAATAAACAAGACAAAGAAGGTGCCTTGGCAGAAGCAGATGTGATTGAATATTTATCTCTTGAAAAACTTGTCAATGAACACAAATGCCTCTGTCAGATTGTAAGTGCATTTTAAATAAGATTAATTTCCTTAGACATGTTGCTTGGCAGAATTTTGAAATGAAATTATGCAATTCTATCACTTTATTTTTCTCCATATCATATGCCTCTTTATGTCTGATGAGAAAGATGATTTGGTTGTTTATTACCTGGATGATAAACAAATTTCAGAATGTAATTTCTCAAAAAAGTATTAAAGGAATATCCGTCTCTGTAATATCAGGGCTTTTTTTTTAAAGCATTTAATTTCCTGATGAAGATAATACTCAGGTATTACTATCTGTAGTGTTGGTTCCTAAACTGAGGAGGCTAATCAGTTCAGCCTTTTTAAAATTGTCTGGTCTGTTATGGACAACTGCCTATAAGTTATAAAAAAAATTGCATGGAAATGTCCATATAGTCACCAGGAACTATGATTGATTTGAAAGACTGTAATAACAATAGCAACAACGTGCTATGGAAATACAAGTTTCTTTTAACAATTATATTTTCTACCATTCACTAATGCAATTGGTCTTTGACTTATAACCACAATTGAGCCCGACATTTATGCTGCTAAGTGAGAAATCTGTTAAGTGAGTTTTGGCCCATTTTACGACTTTTCTTAAGTAAATCACTGCAGTTGTTAAATTAGTAACACTGTTGTTAAATGAATTTGGCTTCCCCACTGACTTTGCTTGTCAGAAGGTTACAAAAGGTGATCACATGATCCCAGGATACATAAATTTGAACCAGTTGCCAAGCATCTGAATGTAAATAACATGACCATGGGGATTCGTAAGTGTGAAAAATAAGTCACTTTTTTCAGTGCTGTTGTAACTTCGAACGGTCACGAAATGAACTGTTGTAAGTCAAGGACTACCTGTACAACGAAGAATGTTATACATTGACAGAGAAAAGAAGATTGTTCTTGACCGGCATGCCAACGTTCTCCATATAAATGTTTCTTTCCCCATATGAATGTTTTCTATAAGTATCAAATGTCATTTCACTTGTGTTGAAATCATAGGTGTAGGGCTGCCAGGCACAACTGAATTTAACAGTGTATCACTTGAACCTATGACAGGTTTTGTCTTAAGCTCTTCTTTCCATATGGTATTCTTGAGTGATGTGGATGTCGATTATACTATCCCCTCAATAGTGGTGCATTGGGATTCATAGAATACAATTATATTGTTTTGTTTTTAATATTAATAAGTTTACACTGGAGTTTCTAAAAATGGAGCAGGCTTTCCAAAAATAGAGCAGCATGTAAATTGAAGTATTAACTTGAGCTGCTTCAACAGTTGAAATAGCTAATATTTGAATGAATGAATAATTAACAAATAAATTATAGACTGTGGTTATTTTCAAAGTCTGTTTTATTATAGAATTGGGATTTGCAGATAAATCCAGTTTAGTAAATGATAATGTAATTTGTTCTTATTTCAGTTTATTTATGTAACTTAAAATATGCATTTCAGTTCTAAATACACTTTTTATTCACTTAGATTAATATTAAAACTAAGTGAGTTATGGTGACAGAAAGAATGCTGCTAAAAACCAAGGAAGAATCCGAATGCTCTACTGCAGAGCGTAATGTTTTGTGGCAGAGCATTTGTTTCATTCTTGGAAAATAAAATTTTGGTTTAATCATTCTTGTCTTAAAAAGTTAGAATTTCAAGACAAGAAATTCTTGTGGGAATGTATTGGGAGCAGCAACAGTTTTTGAAAAGTAATTTTCAGAGCATATAGGCAAACCTGAATATATATCCCTCTGGAAAGCTGTGTATTAAGAGGTGAGATGGAATAATTGGATAGATCAAAATATGAACAAGTTATCATTGACAAGTGTGCTGCACAGTCATTTTCAGAAATTGTCAGTGAGTCCATAACTGATTGTTCAATTTCATATTGCTATAACAATATGAAATAGTGCTGATTTTTCCATTGGTTATAGGAGCCTTGTTCTGCTATTCTGGGCAATGGAAGAAAAATTGACAAATCGATAAAGAAAGGTTTACTTTGGCTGTTACACACTATAGCAAAAGATTTTGATGTCTTACACGAAAGAATTCAGAAAGACATCACAGAACAAAAAGCCATTGAAGAGCAAGAGAAACGAGAGCGAGCAGAAAGAGTGAAAAAGATAAGGAAAGAAAGGTAGGTAGAGTAAATCATCTTTCATTTATGTGAAATATTTTATAGTACATTGCAGATGGGATTTCAGGTACTGTACAGCAAAGACCAGAATATGTAGATCTAACGTAATACATTCAGTAATTGTGTTTTCGTATCAGACATGATGTGACAAGGATCTTCAAACTTGGCAAGTTTAAGACTTGTGGACTTTAACTCCCACAATTCCTGAACTAACATGATTGGAGGAAGAATTCTGGGAGTTGAAGTCCACAAGTCTTAAACTTGCCAAGTTTGAAGATCCCTGTATATGACATAGTCAAAGTTGTTAATAATGATCATCTAAGAATGACATTTCCAGTATGACCATTGTTTATTCAAGACAAGAAATAAAGTACAGAATCATGCTGGTGCTCATCATATTTGTTGAATTCCAAGGCAGTTTTGTCCTTGGCTAGAAATTATGGGCTTTAACACCATACTTGGTGGGATACCAGGTTGGGGAAAGTTCATTTAGACACTCTGAAGGATTTGCAAAAGGGGGTACAAGTTCAGACTGATAGAACAGAAAAATGAATTTTCCCTATAGTATAGCTACTGTAGTTAATCTTTATTAATACTCTCTCATTTTATGCTAACTTTGGGTAATGTGTCCCAGATTCTGAGAGAGCACGCAGAATTTGTCATGTTGATATGGTATTTGAATTATAGACAAAAAAGAAAGCAACTTATCATCTATACATTCAACTTCTGATGGAAACAGTTACAAGTGTTTGTTTTTAACAATTTAATACATGCATTAACTTGTTCACTGAATATGGAATTTTGAAAAAGGCTAGGTCTGCCACTAAGTCTATCAAGAAGGAAAACGTAATACTTCTTTCTGACCAATAGATGGAATTCTTTTTTTCACTCTTTAACTTTGCCTTTTAAAAGAAAGCAATGACTTTCTTTATGCTACATCTTAAAAGCTAAGAATAACCAATAAAACATAAGAATGGGGATATATAATTAGAGAGGCTACAAAAGGAGTATGAAATTATGTAGGTACGCTAGCATCTATCACCAGCTACTTACTGTGCAGGTTGATCTTTAAAAGACAGAATGAGTGGTATTAGAGTCAGCCTTATATGGACTGGGCCAAGCTAGGGATACTTAGCAGCTCCTTCCTTTCCAACAAACATGGTCAACTGTGGTGATAATCTGGACCTCTCAAAGGACACTCTGTGGTAATAGCAATGGCAGACAGACCTGAAAACAGTCAGCACCATCAGCAGTCCTCTGACAGCTAGCATACATGGAGGCTGGTAAAAGCACAGTAGTGCTCGAATCCTCCAGCTGCAGACCAAGACTCAGTACATCAGATCTGCCCATTGCTAGAATGGTGGTAAGAGAATCAAATGGCATCAGAATGGGCAGTATGTGAGAAGAGACATATTCCATAACAAAGAAGTAGGTCATGAATCATAACGGTTTTCAGTTCTAACTAAAGGAGAACACATAAAATGGCTTAAAATCTCAGAATACGAAATTGGACCAGTTTTTCATTCAGATAAATGGAATCTGGTAGGAATCTAACTCTTCACTACGTTCAAATTTTCTTTTAGCTAACTAGAAAAATAGTGAGATATGTCTTTAGCCAGCATACCAAATTATAGTGGAAATATATCATATTACTGAAAAGAACACTCACTAACTTCAACAATTTAGAATCTGTAATTATTAATTATTTATTTTACACGTACCAAATATGTAGAATTGTGAATTCCTTTCAGTTGTACAGAAATTCATACAATAAAATTTGAAAATATACAAATTCAAGTCAATCTTAATCAGGCAAATAAAGCATATTTCTGGATTATCTTAGTATCTGTTTGGTTTATAACCATTTCTTTCTGTTGAATTCAATTTTGACTTTAATTCTGTCATGAAATAAGACAAGTGGAACAGGAAATACAAGCATGCAACCTCATTTTGCTTTGAATCAAAAGTTTATTTCATGAGCAATTTGGAACAAGAAAGCCATCAAAGTACAAACAACATTTCAGCAAGATAATACTTACATCAACAACTCATTGCAATCAGGTCCAGAGATAATAGCTAGGTCCAGCAAGGAGCAGCTACCATCAGTGGCCATGATCTGAGATAAAACTCCTTCTTATATACTTTTTCTCTACATTCCTTCTGTTCCTCTAGAAGATTACCAGGGCAACTTTCTCATTCATTGTGCCATCCTATTACTCTTGTCATCTGCACTTTTTGGTTCCGTATTCTCGTAATGTCCCAGACAATTATGTCCAAAATAGCCTCAAAACAAATTGAATTGCAACTATTAGGTTTACACAATTGCAGATTACAAATTTTCCCTTAGTTTGGGCCTTTATCAAGCTGGTGCTAATATACTATCATATAAGAAGCAGTAAAAGCCAGGTTCAGAGCTAGGAAGTATAGACACAGGTAGAGAGTTAAGGGTCTCTTACAACCCTTTGCTTTAAGGACAGAATAGAATATATATTTCAGTAAATTAATGAAAGCTACATTATTCTAATAGAAGAATTGTAAGCAAGGTTTCACATTGATTGTTTATTTTCAGGTATCCATCTTTTACAAGTTCATCAATAACACTTTACTGCATTTTGATGTAATGCATATGAACTGTTTTCAAATTTTGTAATATTCTAAGAATTTGTAATTTTAGTTAATCCAAGATATCTTTTTTTTAAAAAAATAATAAGAGAACAGAAAGAGAAAGAAGAAAATGAACGGGAAGGAAGGAGCATTTTGGATGAAGAAGACACTGAGCTTGTAACTGGAAACCCATTTCAGCCCCTATCAACTATAATAACTAAGGTATTGTAGCAATCATCCATGGAAAAGATTTGTGGCAAATCAATTCATTGTTCATGAGTCATTTAGCCAGTATTGTATTTTTAAAACAAATTCAAATCCCTTTCTTTTATATTTGATCCTTTTTTCCTTTTCTTTATTTTATTTGATACGAGTGGTTATTTATTTTTCCTTTGCTTTCTGTTTTATTTTTCTTGTTCCTCTTATTTAGATCATATTAATAACTATGTTTGCTTCTCTACTAGCCCCTTTTGCTTGCTTGATAACTAATTATGATGTATTGAAAAAATTGAACCCATTGCCACACAACAGAGTATTTTTGATAAATCTCTATCAAAATTTCTTTTGAGATACTTCTTATCTGTCTATACCAAAGTAACTTGTATTTTTCCAAAACACAGGATAACTTGTGTTCTTGTTCTGGGGATGCATCATATAAGATAAGGCTGCGCTAGTGTTAGGTTGCTACTTATATCTAGAAAACCAAAGGGATTTATTTCAGTCACCTAGGACTGCTAGGACTGTTTCTTCTACCTTTGATAGGTTGTTGAGATTAAGAACCATTAAACTTTTCTGAGTTTCTCATGCACATTCAGGCCATAAACTTTGTCAGATGTGTAATCATTTTATAATTCAATCATGACTTTTCTAATACTGGCAGCCTCCTCTAAGTTGTTTTCTCTGTATGTTTTTAAGCCTCCTTTTATTTTAGCTTCTTGTTTCTACAGCCTTTTTTCAATAATTACCTGGTTTTTCTATGCTTCCTTAATTCTGTAGATGGCCAAATAATGTTCAGCCTTCTTTGAACATTAAGTGGTATTTTTTATCTGGTTTGGTAGAATTGGTAAGAACTATTCTAACACTGCATATTGAATATGCATATTCTAATATGCATGCTTTGTTACATTGTATCAGTATAATGTGACTTGCTTAATTTTAATCTTATAGTAAAGTTGTGTAAGTTCTTTGGACTTTTCCTGTAAAGCTGGATGCTAACCAAGCTGCCAATTGCTGCTTGGGCTTTATAAATATTGTTCTGTATCATATATTCCAAAAACTCTTCTATATTTTTGCTTTTGTTAATTTTGGGATTTAAATATTTTGAGATCTTTATTATGAGTTTAGGAAGAAGTTCTTACTCCCATTCTTGGAGTAGTTGTAGCCATAATTATGTACTACTATTATTTCTTTCAATTACCCTAAATGAATTATCCTTTCTGATTATTCCTGCTCTAGTCTGTCTTGCCTCTTTTTTTGTCCAATGTCTGTCCTATTCTTGGTCCTTCAGCGTAACTTAAATACTTTTTTCCCAAGAACTTTATTCCTCCCATAACAGGGGAATTGTCACCATTTCCAGTGCCTTCCATATTTTCTTTTTTTCTTTTTGTAAAAGTTTTTTATTTTTTTAAAGACAAACAGTAACAAACACAAACATAAAACATCAACATAAAACCATCTTCCAAAATACAGTGTGTCGGTTGGTACATTTCTTTCGTGCAATCAGCAGTCTTCCCCTTCCAAACATATATTCATATTACAAAGTCAACTGTACATATTGTATTATATCATATTATATTATTATTATATAATCATACTATGAATTCACATAGTTCTTATCGAGCCAATCTAAATTTAAACAAATCTGAGAACATACACTTCATTTCATTATATTTAATTATATAATATCATTACATCATATTATCTTACCTATTGTAATATTCCTTTTTATAACATAATTTACTTCTCTATTTTCTTATCTAGCCATTGATAAAATAAGTCCCAAATTTTGTAATATTCTTTATCTAATATTCTTTATCTAATTTCTAGTGTCAATTTACTCATTTATGCACATTCCATCATTTTCTTAACCACCTCTTCTTCTATTGGAATTTTCTCACTTTTCCAATTTCTAGCAAATACAATTCTAGCCGCTGTTAACACATTTATAATCAAATACATCAATTCTCTGCTATATCCTTTAGGCAAGATACCCAATAAAAATATCTCTGGTTTTAAGTCTTCCTTCCATATTTTCAATGGTCTCTTATTTCTGTGCTACTACAAGATATGAACAGATGTGTGTGGTCCCAGATACTATTAAGATATTAATTACTTAACTAATTTTTATAGTGGCCAGGCTAATTTTAAAATTTATTTCATCAAATTACTTTTGTTTTACATTAATGCTACCTGCTACCTCTGTACCCATTTCATATTCCATTGCCACCACCATATGTGGTGGTGTGAAAAAGGATAAAATAGTTCTGGACAATGCAACGAACTGGAAGCCAAATAAAAAGTATTCTATATTATAATACAAGGAGTAATACAGTGAGTAATTTATTTGGCTGGTTTTCAGTTGTAATATGCTTACCTATCCTGTATATGTTCATGCATGAGTTCTTGATTACAAGTCTAAATGAACAATTTAATATTCATTTAAATATCACTCTTAACCGCTCATCTCCCTCAGAGAGATAAATAAATATACATTTATTTACAGAGCTGCTATAGGCAATTTCTAAACCTAATAATGGGTTTTTTATATTAATTCCTCTTTCTAGATAGCTTAGATATACTTTTATTTGATATTCTTAAGAATCCCTTGTCTAGAGGCAGAAAACAATTTTTTTTTCAAAGTTCTCCTAGGATTTTGGTACTTTATTTGCTTCTGTACCCTGTTACAGCTCTTGAGCTGTTTCTCCTATAAGGATTCCTTCATCTCTGCAGTCTAGTTGTTTTATCAACAAGGTCACTCCAAATCCTTCTTTCTAGATTCTACTTGCTATTGCTAATGTTTCCCACTGCACATATCTATTTCCTTGCTGACTTCTTTCAATGTCTTTCTTGATGTCTTTGATCTCTTAATTATTTGCCGACATGAACAACACCTCCAACTGATTATAAGGAAATACAAAGCAGAACTCCTTTTTCTGCCAATTTGTCCTGTATAATGGCAGTCAGTTTCCTAAACATTATTAGTAGCCAGTAAAGCAATAATAATAATAATAATAATAATAATCAAATAGCATCAATGGATCAATATTCACAAAAGATTTGCATTAAATTTGGTACTCTCATTTATGAAAGGATGTGATGTTCAAGTTGACTTTAGAAAAAAAAACTAAGGAAAATAAGTCATTATTGCTAATTCATGTTGGATATTGAGAAAGCCAAAGAATACCAAAACCCACAAGTATATTTTTCATTGATTATAGAAAGGCTTTTGATTGTGTTGATCACTTCAAGCTGTGGAGTGTGTTTATAAAAATGGGAACACCAGAACATTTTATTTTTCTGATGCAAAATTTGTTAAAATTTTAATAAATCAGTGTACATGCAAAGTATATATTAAGGCAAACTGGATTTTAAGAATATGAGTGTGTTTTTAAAATGGAAGAAACATCAATAATTTGTGCAATGTTGATGGCACTATTCTGATTACTGAAAATACAACTATACATAATATATAATAATTAAACTGTGAACAGTAAATGAGTCAAGAGTCAAGAAATATGCTACAAACTAACACTTGGTAGAGTAGCATTGAAAGCCTTGGAAAATATATTTAGATGCCAGAATCTGCTTTTAATACAACAATCAGAATGGTGCAGGCATTGGTTTGTTTGTTTTTCTTGTGTCATTGTGTAGAAGTTAAAGTTGGACTTTGAAAAAAATCAGAAGAGAAACTATTGCTGCTTTTCAACTTTAATATTGGGAAAGATTTCTTACAATGTAATGGATATCCCTGAAACCAAACAAAATGGATCATAGAACAGAAGACTTTCTCATTTAAAGTAAAAACATTCAGACTCAAATTATAATACTTTGGCCACTTCATGCAAAAGAGCTAATTCTCTGGAGGTGATAATTCTCCGGTCTATAATGCTGGAAACAGTAAAAACAAAGAGAAGAGGATAGCCAGCAGTAAGGTGGTTGAACTCAGTTTCAGCAGTGTGGGCAGAACATAGATGAAAGACCTGAAGGATCAGATTAGAGACGGTTCTCTTGGAGAAAATCTATTTATGTGATTGTGAAGAGTAAATACAAACTTGATGGCACATAGCCAATCAAAAGACAGCAATTTTCAAAGATACCAGGTTTTATAATTGGTGCCTTTTTAATTAATTTCTTGGAATAATAGTTCAGAATATGAAAAAAAGCTGCCGTGATATCAGAATCAGTATAAGTAATTAAAGGCTTAGTTTTCTCCACACGGGGAAAAAGCTTTACTTAATATTTTAAATCCTTTATCCATAGCAATATGTCAATAAAATTGTATAGAAATCCATAGGCTAATATAAAGAATTGAACTAAGGCCATTGAGAATATTTGCACAGTAAAATTTCAAATGCCTGAAATTCAAAGCAATTAAAATGTAAAGTTATATAAGCAGTTTTCTTAGAAGATCCAAATATTAATTAGAGGTTCCATTATATGAAATTGAAGAGCAATTTATTTTATATTATTGGTGATTTGTTATCTGGTAGGAAAGGCTAGTTTAAGGACATAAATATAGATCTTAAGCTGGCCATGATTTTTGTTTGTATGTGTGTATGTTGCATTATCTGCAAAGTTGTTGTGGAAAACACCAAGGCATCTTAAGAATCTGAAAGTACAGTTATAAAACATCTTGATTTAGTGCCTGGTCTAAATCCATAAGAATGTATAAAAACAGTTTTGTAAATTTAATATATGAAATGTATTTCAGTAATTCTTTTAGAGTATCCTCTGATTTGTTGTTGACATTAACTCCTCCCCAACTAACACTTGAAATGCTACTGTAATAAATGGCATTTTCTTCTATATTTTGTTAGAATGAAAAGAAAATTGAAAAAGAGAAGAAAAGGCAAAGGGAAGAGAATGAAAAGATTGCTATTGCCTTGAAAACTAAAACAAATCAGGAGATAATAGATGTTCAGAGTCTGAACAGTGAACAATCCAACGAACAGAGACTGATAGAAAACTATAAATCTGTACTAACACAACAAGTGGAACACGAAGATGAGAATGACCAGCACATCTCAGAAAGTCTTGACTCTGGTGATAATGCCACTTTGAATCCAGGAACAGGTAGACTGATAAGAATTTATAAATGCTGTGTTACCAGCCAATTTCTCTTAGATCTTCTCACATGCTCCTTCTGATTTCTCAGAATGATTTAGTAAGAACTGATGAACTGCCTTTTTGTTTACTCTGAAAAAAACCAGAAAATTATTTAGTATTCTTTCACGTGTTTTGATTCAAAGAATCTTGAGTGAAAGACTGTTCTTATCTAATTTCTACTGAGGTTTGCAGAGGTTAAAATAACTCATATGAGTCCTGTCAGCTTTTCAAAAGTTTATTTCAACATTTGAACTTGGAGAGAGAGAATATAGCTGCTAGGCAACATTTTGAAAAAGGACTAGGAAAACCTAATGAACTGCCAAGCAATTGATAGATTTTTTTTAATTAAATGACAAATTTAAATTCCAGTAGTCTATCATGAATACATAGTCTTAACTAAACATATGTATGTAATTAAGTAACTGTGCTTATTACCAAATAAAATTGTGATATGCTCTGATTAAAATATCTCTATGTATGCACAGATGTTTTCTAATTGCATTTCAAAATTCTTTATGTAAGATCAGTGGTTTTATTTATATTTGATTTAGAAAACAGTAAAAAGAAAGCAAAGAAGCTAAAATTAAAAAGAAATCGAGTTGAACCAGTCAATACAGAAGAAATTGTTTCCCCACTTCCTACTCCAATTGCAACTCATACACCAGGTGAGTACAATGTGCATTAGTGTTTAAAGTTAAGGTCTTGAACACATGAATAACAAAACTTCACATGAAGTATTTCAAAAGAAAAGATATGGCACTGTTAAATATTATGATGAAATGCCTAACTGATCTTGGGAACATAAAGGAGGCAGAGAGAGAACTAAGGAGAGATAAGGGTAATGTAGAAGAAGTCCAGGGGAAAAGAAAAGCATGAGAAAGAAATTTAGAGTAACTCTGCCTTAATTATATTAGGTAGAACTTGTAGGGAGAAATTATTTTTACGTTTCATGATTCTGTTATATTACCCAAGTTACAATGAAGATCTTTCCAGGTTATGGCTCACAAGCTCATAAAACAAGAACCATTTAATTCCTGTAAACATATTTATTTCTAATAATATTACAGAATCTTGAAAGCTTATTAAATAATTTTCCCACATAACATACATTGTTAAGGCAGCTTTACTTTGAATATCTTTCTCATGCTTGCTTCTATCCCCTGGACTCTTATCTGTTAGAAATGACCCTATTTATTATCTACTTTGTTCTCTTGTACCCTTCTGCTCCCAAGGTCTGTTAAATATTCCATCTCGGAAATGTATGTAGCAAGTGAAAAAAAGCCTGGCTGTATAAAAAGGAATGATGTCTTATTCCTCAATTGAATTAGAGAAAAAAACACAACAAAATATTTTTTTTACTTTTATTGGACATATTTTTGCCTCATTTTATTTTTTGAGGGGGATGGGGGTGTAAAAAATAGTGTCATACGACCTTTATAGAATATTTATTTATTTGTTTGTTTATTAATTTTTATGCCTTTATCTACATCCAAGGAATACATTTTCAATATCAGATTCTTAATCCTATGCAAATTAACTTCTACCCCAATATGTCTACCATGCTCATCAGTAGTAAAAGTTCTGGTTTTATTAATAACTTGAGATTTTCTCCATGTTCGTGGATGAATATTTGTTTTATTAGAATTGTTCGATTATATAATTGCTGTTCGATTTTATTTTTTATTTTTTTGGCAGTTGGATGGGAAACACCAAAAATTAACAGAATTCAAAAACTTGAGCCTCTTGGTGAAACTCATCATAATGGTAATTTCAGAGGAATTTTTCCTCGGCATCATATATTTTATTTTGCATGTTAGCTTATTTCTTTCATTTTGACTAATTTGACGCTTCTTTAAAAAATCCATAATTTTCACTCCTTATTTTTGTCTTAAACTATATGTAAATGGCATCTAGTTAATAATTTTATTTCATTCTCTTTGCTTCAGGACAAAACTGTTGCTTATTGAGATGGTCATGTAGTTAGTTATATATTGCTCAGTGGAAAAAAAATAGAACACATTAAAGTGCAAAGGACCATTCTTAACTGTTCGCCCAAAGAAGGTCTGCTATGAATTGCTATAAAGATTTTAAGAAATATTGAAATAGGAGAAAAATATCTTCTGAGCAGACAAGCATTCACATAATCTTCATTTTTTCTCTTCTCAACACCTATAAAATATTGAATCTTAAACATATATTAATCACTTGCTAAATTTTATAAGGTGAAGCAGAAGGGGGTGGGAATTGTTATGAGTGAATTTGGCAGGTAGATACTGATGCCTAACTTATGGTTACTTATCTGAATATCTAGAAACCATTTGTAAGTACAGTGCAATTTTTATTAGCATATGGTTTTCTAAAATAATTTTGCTGTTAATCTTTTTAATGGCAAGTTCTTTCCTAGTAGATTTTGATTTGTAATATCCTCTTACAAATGAGGATAAGAGTTATTATTAATAAGAATTGTTCAGTGATAGAACATATGTCATATATATATGCTTGGTGTTCAACTTAAGGACCTCTAAAATGACCTTGAACAATAACACTGCAAAAAACAAATGCTTGGCATGCTGTTTTGACCTGTTTCTCAGAGCATGTAATATTAAACTGGATCCAGGTTATCCAACTTTCTTTAGCTAAGGGCTATTCAAAGGTATATTTTACCTTTGAATGGAATACCTAAGGCCATACTTAAAGAAAAGGACATGGTTAGAAAAAAACTAAATTTTATTTCATCTATGGTTAAATGCATTTAAAATTAGTTAATTGCAGTTAATATGGCAAGCCCCATATATTTCATTTTTTCTCCTTCTTTCACATTAAAATTTATGAAGTTGCAACTTTTGAAAGAGTTGTAAAATGATAACCAAGATGTTCAAGGTTTGCTTGCAGCACTGTGATCTCAGAATTTACTTCTCTAGATTAGAAATATGTATGGAAAATTTATACGTTCATAAAACTATATTTTGAACATAAATTGATTTCCTTTGTAATAGACAATCGTATAATTTTCAACAGTTTATTTAATATCCATATTTCTTTTTAAGGAGTATAAAGAAAAGAAAAAGAGAGAAAGGACAGAAAAAAGAGGTAGGGAGGAAAAGGGCCATGTTTCCGGATTATAATCTTTTTGCTCTTTAACTATGAGCCTGATGGTACCTGGAGTTAAAGTTGTTATTCCTTAGACAATATTTTTGTTAAAAAGTGGGATAGAATTATTCTTATCAAGAAATATTCTGATGGTAAGTTGTAAATCAAGTTTGTGAAGCTGTACAGATGAGATATTTCCTGTAAGCTTTGATTTTCAACTTGCTCAAAGAATACAATTACTTACAATTTTGCATGTACTTCTTTCAATTCTTGTCACTATTTAACTTGAAAACATAACAACTTTGATTTGAGATGATGAAAGAGATCCATCATTTGAGTACTATTTACTCTGGATTTATTGGGATTATTAGATGCTGCTGAATCCAGTTTAGAAGCTAATGTGAATAATTACTAGAATTTTAGATTTCTAGCTTCCTTATAATTGAACTTTTCTATAATTTAGGCCTTAAAAACTCACAAATATCCACCAAATTTTATTCTTTTTTGTTAAGTATTTTTCTATAGTTTTATTCATTCTGTTATTTTTTAATAAAATTAGATTTAGATCAGCTACTAAGTGACACTGAATTCCTTGACTAAGAGATCAGTTTTAGTCATCTTTAGAAAAAAAGGAAGAGAGTTGGGAAATCCTGATTGGGGTGGGCAAAAGGAACAGGGCAGGAAGCTATAGTGGGGAAGGAGCACAATGACCTCTTACCTCCAGAATCTTAAATATCAGGGAAATTTTAGCAAAAGAATAGGCAAGACACAACTCCAGACTGTAGAATTATTAGATACAGATAGTCCTCCCTTAAAAATTGCAACTTTATCACTAAGCAGGGTGATTGTTAAATGAAACATCATGACTGCACTTGACTTATGACATTAGCTCTACTGTAGTCATTAAGCAGATCACTCATGATTTAAGTGTGGTGTCACATGATTGTGATTTGCAACTTACTGCCAGCTCCCCTGATAACTGGTAACTAAGCCCTAACTAAGCTGGCTGTGATGGACATACTGGTGATCTTATGACTATGGGACACTGAAGAAGCCCATCAGTTTGACTTCAGATATGCCGTGACGAAGTCAGCTGTGAAAAAGGCAAAATCTGTGCTAGTGATCATTAGAAAAGAGACTGAAAATAAAATTGAAAACATTGTCGATCCTTTATAGTAATTTGGTATATTTACATCTGGAATATGTGGACAGTGGGCTGTCAGACTTCTGAACGGAACATAACTTCATGTCAACATAGTATGATAGACTTGCGGGGCCGACATGTTGTGCAACAAGGTCACAAAGTGTAATAAGATTGGGACTGGGTTAGGGACTTCTGTCCCCTCTGTGAGTTGTGTTGTGGGGAGGGGTGCACGAAGGGAGGCTCAGTTAATCTCATTGCACACATGTTGTACTCTGACAATAAAGGTAATAAGAAGTTTGTCAGCACATTTTAAAAGAGACTATAATATTTCTGGGAAAAGTGAAGATTACGGCAATCAAAACTACTAGAGTTTTGAACACCTGCCTTATGAGAAAGTCTAGAACATATTTAACTTCAAAAAAAGTATAAGTGATGAGGGACTAAGTTAAGAGTTGAGGTATATAATATCATGCATGGGATGGAGAAAGTGAAGGGAAGTTTTTCTCTTTTTATTAAAATCCTAAGCGCAGGAGTCATACTGTGAACCTGACTGAAGGTTTTAGAAAAACTACTTCCATACAGCAATCAATTTTTGGAATTCAGTATTGCAAGATGTGATCTCCAGTAATTTGGGTGGCGTTTAAAGGGAGTAAATATAATCATAAAGGACAATTCCATTAAGGGCCATTAGCTCTGAAGACTAAATATTATCTCTCAGCTGGTGGTGCATGTGTTCAAATACAAGTTGCAGAAGAATATCAGCAGGATGATTGAATGTCTCTATCTCCTGCTTCTGTGCACTGCAGGAGCATAGGTTTGGCCAGATAAACACAATACTGGACTAAGACAGAACTTGGGTCTGATTGACCAGTTCTCTTCTGTAAAAAGGATTTTGTTATCTTAGAAAGGATTTGTAGCCAAATTAGTTGTATTATGTAATCCAACTCTACACTTGAAGTATTTTTTAATTTGTAGAAAATATATAGGAAATACATACTAAATATTTTGTTAATGCTATACAAAATAAATAAAAACATATCTTAATATTTTGCAACATTGACATTTCATAGGTTTTCTCTGTTGTAGAGTTTAAACAATATTAATAAATAACATTAATTATCAATTTACATCTGGAGAGGAAGGAGTTTTGATAAACTAAAGCAAAACATGATGTTTCAATAGGTATGACTTAAAAATCGATAGTCAGCACAAATAAAAGTAAAAAATATCCTAAAAACCAATAAATATAACCAATGCAACGTCCTGTTCTGCCTTCTCTGAATGCATCCACTATCTTTTTATAGCTTTATAATTTTGCATATTCTAAGCCTGCCTGATGTATGTCTTTTAATTCTTTTTTTAAAATGGATGTTTCTGTTCTGCTCTAACATGGTTTAATAATTTGACACTTGCCTTGTTTTCCTCTTTGAAATTCTGCTTACATTAAAAAAAATTACATTGTCATAAAAATCCTCGGATACTTGGTTTTGCATTTGAGTGCAATCTGCTGTTCACATCTCCAAATCACTAAGGTTTATATCTACTTTAAATCCTCAATGTTGGTTGCTGCTGATTTAGAATTAGTTGGGAAAATAGGGGAAAAGGTGCTTCTTATACAAATGATCCTATTCCTTTTCTGTATTCTGAGTGATTTAATCAATATATTATATATGAAACATAAGGTAGATTGAGAGTGGTAGTAACAGGGAGCTTTGAGATGACTATATATAATAAAGAATACTAGCCATCAGGTATCAGTTAACTTAGATTGTTCTTATGTTTAATTAAAAATTCCTTTGTTTTCAACATTATTAATTTGTACCAGTCGGGAACAAGGTCCTCTAAATTTGTTTTTATGTCTAGGATAGAGTAATTGTGGGAAGAGTATTTGTAATCTTAAAACTATTTTGAGTGTATTTCTCTTTTTACAAGTCATTCTCAAAATAAAAGTTATAGCCAGAAGGAATGACAAAAACTGTAAAAAAATATTGTGAAACTGATAAGCATGTATAACAAACATGTATCTTTCAGTATATAAATTTTGCATAAGATAGAATTATCAGATGAAAGCTAAAGATTTCTGTGTGCGTATGAAATAAGCAGAGAATTCCATGCCTTTTTTTCTGTTCAGTTCACAATAGTTGGATAAGAGGTATATTGTCTTAATTTGGTTTCTTTTCTAATTTGTGCTTCAGATTTCTATGGAAAGCCATTGCCACCACTTGCTATACATCAAAGACCTAACAGCGATATGCATGGTGTCATTTCTTAACTAGCAGTCATTTTGTAGCTTTCAAGAGGAATCTAAAATAAGATTACATTAGACATTGCTTTCTTTTTTGAAGAGATACCTGCTATTCTTACAAGTTGCTGGGCTTCACAGTTACATTGGGATTCCTGGTAAGGATGATTCTTCTAAACGTTAACAATCCTGCTTCCTCAATTTACCGGCTGCTCTTCAAAGGTGATACGCAACAAGGAAACTCATACAAGCAGAATTCTTGCAAAAGAAATGACAACAGGATATTTATTTCCCTTGCTGGAAATAATATTCTCAAGACCAAACTCAACTTGATTATGCATATACATGCTTTCCGTTTGGCTAAATAGTTTTCTATATTCAACATTTTGAGGTTTTTTTAAAAGTACATGCATGTTCAAAACACAAACTGTACATTTAAACAATTTGATATATTTTTATAATATTTTGTTTTTAAGAAATTATTTGGTCAGCAGAACTATTTTGACATACTAAAATGCCTATCTATATTCATAAGTATCTGGTACTTTTTTTTTTTTTTGAAAAGCAATATGTGTGATTTGCTTCACAATTTGTCTAATTGTTAATTATGTTGTTTTGTTCTTAGTCCACCAGAAAGAAATGTGTATTGGAAGGAAACTGTATTCATGTTTTCCTTGATGAGAAACAACACTTCTGGAGTCAATTGTGACCATTCATTTTGTGTTCTTGGGGCTAGAGGGAGAGGGACACTTTTGACTTTCTAAAGGATAGAAAGAAATGTCCTTCAATTACTACTGTATAGAGTAGTCATGGCCACTGTTCTTGCAATACTCTTTTCATCTTGGAGAACATGTGAACATATGGATTGGGGAACTAGGGCTGTGGGGTCACTTTAATGTAAGTAGAAGTAGAATTGTAGAATTGAGTTACACCTCTTTGCACCAAATGTAATAAATGTATCTTCTCCCAGGTTTATGTGGCAAGCTTAACTGTTTTAAAGAGTAATAAGTGGATACAAAGTTCATGTTCCTTCACAATCCAAGGCTTGGCTTTGAATTCAAATTGCTCCATAACCTTTATTTCATTCATGCAGACACATTTCCCATTACCTTGGTGTTTCATATATGCTGAAATAAATGAAAATGTTTATATAAAAAAGGTATCTTTCTCCCCTGAATTGCTTCAGTTGTTAATAACTGCAAATATTATTCTAACAATGAACATTTCTAGAAATATGTAAATGCCTTTCTTTAAACATTACAGTCCAATTTTTACTTCCTTTTTTCCATAGCATATTAGAGGTAAATGATCAAAATTTGCACATGATCAGAGGTTTCTCTGTATGCTCAGATAGTGAAAGTAATTGAATGGCTTACAAATATCATAAAGCCTTAATATTAAACTGAAAAATTTGGGAATGTAATGAGGTTTGGAAATTCTCACCTTCCGGCAACATCTTATTCAAAAGCTTCTGTTTCTTTGCAGTTTAATGCTTTTGTTCTGCTTGATAATAGTAACACCCATGTCATGAAACTGATCGGTTTGAATCCTTTCATACATGATTTGTATCTATCCTAAAGTCATATAAAAATAGTCTCATAAACATAGTCAGTTGCGTGATTACAAGCTGAATGAGCTTGCTGTTGTAAGATTACTTTCTGTCTAATGTAAAAGATGGTGCATAATTCATGAAACATAATTGTTTCCATATATAGTTCCCATATTCCTGAATTTTTAGATTATATACAAAAATTGAAGTTTGTTTTTGATTTCCCCCAAGAAGTTAAATGTTATTTTCTTTTCAAAACTGTTAAAGACTGTCCTACTTTCTTGAAGCTCAAGAATATGTTTTCTTCTCTCAAGGCTTATGCAATAGGACTTCCTCCTTACCCATGCTGTATTTTTCCCTGCCTCCAGCCCTCAAAATCTGTTTCAAATGATTTCATGAGGGCAACTCATGGTTAGGAAGAATTACTTACCTTCTATTTTATCAGTGGAAATAGATTAATAATCAAGCATATTCATGGGATTTTTGTTGTTGTTACCAGATGCATAAGTACTAGGAATGTGTTTTTCACATGTTGACTTTCCTTTTGTTTATTATGGATTATTTATTGAATAGTACATTTAATGTTTTTATGTCTGAAATAAAGATACACAGAAATGTGATTTAATATTTCATAGTACAATTCATTTTATATGGAACATAGCTTTTTTTTAAAAAAATTATCAGTAATTCATTAATGACTTGCTAAAGAATCCAGTTGAAGTTTGATAGATTTTCAAATTTTCCCAAAGCGTTTGAGCATAAGGTTGGATGGAGTAAGGTTTCTGTTTCAAAAATTATTTTAAAGAAATGCTCTGGCACATCACTTCTCCATTGTTCATTTTACCAACCTTTTTCATTCAATCCTGGGGGGGAAAGCAGTGCTTTAAAAGGTTGAGACTGAAAAGGTGAAGCAACTTTAAGGAATCAATTCATTGAAATTAATGAACTTAAAGCAGCTACTACTTTTTCCAGGCTTGCACAGCCCTAATCTAGAACAAGAGTTAGCAACTTGTAGTCTTAACAGCTTGTGGACTACTGCATCTTCATAGTCACAAAGCAGCAGGTTGCTTATCTCTGCTGTAGAGTCTGGATCTAGCATGTCCTATTATATCAGTTTGAAAAACTGCAGACATGGCAGATGTACAACTCACAAACATCAGCTAGTTGGGTTTCATCCAGTTCATTACTTTATCTAAGTGCTTCTTCAGAATCTCAGTTGGCTCACCTATGCTGGATTTTTTTAAATGGAGAGGGAGAGCTTGGTATCATCCATGTATTTCTGGAATCTCAGTCTACCTACCAGCAGTTTAATGTAGATGTTAAAGAGCATAGGAGATAAAATGGAGCCATGAGGGAATTCATAGCCATAAAAATGAATATAAACAGAGGTGGTATTCAGCAGGTTCTGACCTGTTCTGGAGAACCGGTAGTGGAGATTTTGAGTAGTTTGGAAATCTGGCAAATACCACTTCTGACTGGAGATTTTATAGTATCCTTCTCCTGCCACTCCCACCAAGCCACGCTCACAGAACCGGTACTAAAAAAAATTGAATCCCACCGCTGAATATAATGCATCGATCTTCATGATTCTGATTTTTGCAGTATTCACATGTAATTACCATCAAATCAGATATCTGCATTCACTGACCCATTACAGTTATAGCCCCAGCTGGTTTTGATGCTACCTGGGCTGGGCTGAAATTGATTATGGATTTCAATGAAATTTCCATTTGAATGAAACCACAATCACATGTAATTAATCTACATAGAATTAACCATAAAATAAATGTTAATATCTAGTTTTACCACTGATTGTCCTATGATTTGCTCCAAGAAATCATTTGGAGCTCATTTCCATAGGTTCATTTCGTAAATCTTGCATATTCCACATCTTATTCTATTCCTTAAGCAGCTTGGACATTTCTCCAAATAGAGAATTACTGACCAAATGACAAAATCAGTGATCAAATGATGAGCATTTGCTATTAATGTCATCAAAAATGTACAGTGGGGTGGGATCTATCTAAAACTTTCAAGTTGCACATAACACCTGTGGCCAATGAACAATTTCTGATACCCTTGTGATGCAAGCATGTAAAACTGAGGTTTGGACCTTATCAAGTTTTTTCACTGGGTATATCTGCACTAACTGTTTCAAAATGGCATAAAATACAGACCCAAGATACTGATCACTGTGTTTTTAAGATTCAGAAACAATTATGAGCCAATGAGGAGTACTAAAGAACCAGTAGAGTGGTTGTGAGGGAAAACGGGAGCAGTTCGTAATTTGCCTTTAACTTTAGAACAAAAAGTAGAAGATAAATGAACTACTTTTCTAGTGTTATTAAGAAAACTGTTCTCTTAGTAGAAATTAAGGGACCTTTGGTTTTTCAATAAAGCATCAATTATGTTTGGAAAAAAAATACTGGAAAGCTCAAGTGTTTTTAGATGCTAGCCTTTCATTTATATACTGCGCTCCCGGCCCACAAGGAGTTTTAAAAAATTAAGAACTAGCTACGTTCCAGTCCCACGTTCTATCCAGCCTAGTCTGATGCTTCTTCGCCACGAGTCGTTGTCAGCTCCTCCCCGATAGGTGGCGCTGCTGCGGTCCCTTCGTCCCTCTCCGCCCGTGACTCGATTTTCTGAGACGCTTCCGCCGGCCCGACAAGGGAGAAAAGGACAATGTGCGCGCTGCTTCCAGTGTTGACCATGTTCTCGCAGGGACTGCTTCGGGTGAGTTTGGTTGCCGCTCGGCGACACAGAAAGGAGCGGTATTCTTCGACGAGGAGCCAGGTGAGTGCGAACCGGTTGAGAAGACCGCACTTTTGCTTCGCCGCGCTTCCGTGGCTTTCCCAGAATGGCTCAAAAGTCGACTTTAAGTGGGTAAAGTGAAATTTATATCCTATCGACTTCGAGATGGGGATCCCGGCTTAGCTTTGCTTCGCCGGTGCAATCAAGAAAAAGATTGAGACCTCATTTCCGGTGTTAATGGAAAGGTACGTTTTTATTTTTATTTTTTCTTCGTTGGGATTAGAAGGGGATTACACTGTTTCTTGCCGGAAACAATAGAGCAAATGCCTGACTATTAAGCATTTTCTTCTCGCTGTAAACTATTTGAATGGTCCCTGCTGCAAATCTTTCCCCGAAATCGGGTTATCTTAGAGATATTTACCGGTTAAAATATAACTTGCTTACTTGGTATTTATGCTCTCTCTCTCTCTCTCATGTCACATCAGAAAGAGTCAACGTCAGAAAGCAAGCTTCAGAAGCAAATATGCCAGATTGTTCTCAATCACTTCGAGAAGCAGTACTCTGAAGAGTTGGGAGGAGCATGGAATTCAGTCAGGTTAATTTCTGTTTTGTTTTCTTCCTACTTTTTCCCCAGACTCCAATCCATCCTTTGTTAAATAATTAAAATTGTATTTGTCCTGAAAATGCAAAAAAAAAGTAATTATATTACCAGTAGTTTCTGTTTTAAATGAAGCCATACAATCAAAGCTGAACTGGTGGTATATCAATCACTATAAATACAGTATATAGCAAAATCCTCCTTAATGACCATGCTCTTAATTCAATATTTCCTCATATAATATTTAGAAATATAGCTCCCATCATTCCCTGGGATGGGATAGTTTATGGAAGGCACAAGATTGGCACTAGTCAGCATTCCATACTGGAGTCATTTGACATGTATGCAGACCTTATGAATGACTTATTGTAAGATGATCGTTACAGCTTGATGAAATTGGGTGATGGGAATTTCAAAATAAATGCCTTGATGGTCAGAAGAATTGCTCCTATAGCAGGATCTACAATTTCCTAGCTAATTCTGTCTGATGTGAAAAACTGGAAAGACAATCTGATTGAAAGAAACAGAAGGTCAGAATAACTAAAATGTGTAAATGCCCTACTTTCCACAATAGATGTTGCAAAAGTATTTTTTTATTTTATTTTTAGATGGTTTCAATTCTAGAGCTGTTGTAGGTTATACACCTATTAGAAAAGAAAACCATAGATCTGGTCTCTCTGCAGTTCCTTCCCAGCCTAGCACAGATCCACTTCCTTTTGCTTATAACAGATGTCAAGAGTCCCCATATTGGAGAGCATTATATTCACAATTCTTGGAAAGAGTAAGGAAGTTGTTTCCTCCTATGAGATTGAAGGTTGTGTATGTGTTGAAGAGAAGTAAAATTGTGGGTTTTACTTTCCCATCATAAGATATATTTGACATAGAAATCTATATTTTAAAAATCAGGCTTAATAGTTTCCTGGATTGGAAAACACAGATTCAACTCAAGCTAAACCTTCTGATTCCAATGCTAGTGATTCCTCTTAATAGTACTGTATATAATTGAATATTTGCAAATATTTTTCTTTTGCTTGTGAATTGGACAAATCAATTTGTGTATCTGCTTTAGATTTTCTGAGGTAGAGGAAGAACATTTTTTCCATGTTTCATTTTAAAAAATTGCATGAGCTTATATACATATTTCTCAGTTTGAATTATGCCTCAGTGCTATAATCACAACACTACTCTATCACATAATTACAATATGACATAAATGAAAAGAGATATACTATAAACCAGTGTTTCTCAACCTTGACAGCTCGAACAGAAAAGGACTTCAAAACCCCAGAAAACCCCAGTCAGCGTGGTGATTAAAGAATAGTGGCTCGAAAATTACATGATTTTGGTAAAGAATCTC